CGACTACTACTACTACTACTACTGCTGCTACTGCTACTGCTACTACTACTACTACTACTACTACTACTACTCCTGCTATTACTACTACTACTACTACTACTACTACTACTACTACTACTGCTACGGTTGCAATAGCTACCACAACCAGTAGCGCTTCAACTACGACGACCTTTGCTGCTCCTGCTGGGCCCATCTTCTGCGTTTGGTACAGCTAGTCCTGCTTATCGTGCTTTCCGAGCCACAGCATTGCATCTGTTTCTGCATTGCAGCTTGTCAGCTTGTATTTCACGAGCCATGCGAGGAACCACAAGTTATTCCTTCTGTCGCTACTAGTAGGGCTGCGGTTATTGCCAGTACTTCCACTGCTGTAATTGTTGGATTTCGATTTTTCGCTGTAGAATTTCATGTGACACTGTTCTTCTTTCGGACGCTTTGAAGCGCGTCTGGCACAACCGGAGGCATGCTTTCCCAAGCGCTGAGATTCTTATTGCGGATGAAGATACGACGGGAGGCGTGGGCATTCCTGGCGGTGACTGCAGACGGTTGCTGTTTCGATTTGTATCTTGGCGAGTATCCAGGTATTCTTGGTGTATCTTACAATTCTGAAGTTGCCAAACTGATGTCGTCAAGACCATGTCTTCGCCCATACGGCCTCGCAGTTCCAGCTGCGTCTGCTGCGGAAGAAGAGCACTCTGCCAGTCAGGTCCCTACCTCCGAGGCCCCAATCCCTTAGTAGCGGCTGCCCTCTGGAACATGGCGTGTATCAAGGAAGCCATGGTCTAGAACCTATATAGGACTCAAACCTGCAGCGTAGCTGAGCAGGCCATGGAGCCCTATGTCTCCTATGACAATGCAGGATTCTCAGAGAGTGGCGCATGCACATACTTGATTGAAGACGCAGCATGAATAACACCCTGAATCCTCTGGACGGCACATGCTTTCGCTTTCTACATGATACTCCTTGCCCAGAAGAGAGCGGATCCTTGTGCGCTTGGGTCCTCCTGTGAGCCAGCCAGGTTCACCGCTTCGTGACTGTGATCGGTCGAGGCGGAGATCAGGCCGGAATGGTAGTAAAGGATGGTGGGTGTCGGACCGTAAAGGATGTTGGGCATCGATGAAAGTTTCAACCCTGGAAGTCGGTTCTGAATGGCAGCACTGCGGCTAAGTAGTGCGAGACTCGGTGAAGCCCGGCAGTCCGATCAATCCTCACGTCGTGGTAGTCCTTCGGAAGGTGCCTGAGGAGGTTGGCGATTCTGGGCAACTCAATGAAAGACAATCTTTTCAGAGTCTGCCCGTGGGACTGGAAAGGCTGCGCCTCCCTACCTTCCTTCGGGCGCCGAGCTGTACAATGGCCAGGCGAGACCCGGGTCGATCAAGTCACGGATTGGCAGCTGGTCGCCCTTGATGGAGTAGGAGTACGAGAGGAGTTGTATAATCCCAATGCCGGGCATTTTTGCCAGAATGCTCTTGAAGCGGAGTTTCAACAAAGAGGAGATTTTGATCAGGCGATACTAGGGAGACCCCGGGGATCCTTGAAACTTAAAGGGTTGGACCTATAACTGTACCGAAGTTTGTTTTTCTGTTTCTCTTTCACTCTCGCGGAGGTCATGTTGAGGGGTTGTCCCATCATACGAAAGATTACGATTGCAAGAGCGAGTGTGTAGTAGAATGTGTGAGTTGACTTGTTTCCCTCTGAGAGTTCAGGTTGAGGGATTCTCCCCGCATCGACTGCAAGAGCTGCCGCTAGAAAGGGACGCAGGAACGTAGGAATCGCCCAAGGATGGTAGAGCAAGAGGCTGTCCGTCAGAGGGCCGCATCTGCCGAGCGGTGGAGGGCTCGTTCCGAGTACATGGATGCCCGTCTCCGTGCCCACTCCGAGCAGCTGGAAGGCAAGCGCCAGGAGAGAGAGGCTCGGCTCGCCCACAAGCGACAACAAGTCGAGGCACGTCATCAACGCCATCAGGAGATCATGGAGCGAATGAGAGAGCTGGACATGCAACACCATCAAACGAGCTCGGTGCTGAGTGAGTTGAGGTGGCAGGCAGCCGTGAGTAACAGTCAGGACCGTCTCCTGCAGGAGCTCACGGCCGTTGCGCCACGAGTGGCTTCAGCACCTACGACGCCCAGGAGCCCTGGCGGATTCACTACGTCACCAGAATCACAGTCATGGCACACGCCACGACGATTCAGCGCAGATTGACTGGTTCCCGCGACACCCGGGAGCCCTGCCACGCTCCCACGGCCGGACATCTCGCCACCACGATCACAGTGTCAGAACACGCCGCGGCGAGCCAATGTGGATCGGTCGGTTCCCGAGACACCCAGCAGCCCTGGCAGATTCACAACGCCTTCACCAAGAGACATATCGTCCCCAGCATCACAGTCCTGGGACATGCTGCGGACAGTGAACGCAGATCGGTTAATTCCCCGTCCATTTTGCTCGACTATGCAGACAGCTGCTAAGCCGAATCTCTGGTTGTTCACGGCCGGGCTGCAGCCTGAAGGGCTGAGGAAAGTCAACATGCTAAAATGCTTAAACTTGACCCACTAATACTAAAGCCCGTCTCAGTTCAATCCCGGTTTGACCTTTTGTTGTTTTTTGGGGACAGGGGCTGGGCTCTATGGTCCGGGGAAGGGATAGTAGTCGTCGTAGCAGCAGCAGCAGTAGTAGCAGTAGTGATGGTTGCAGAAGTAGACATAGTAGAGTAGTGGTGGTAGTAGTGGTAGTACTAGTAGTAGCACGATCTACATAGGACATAGTGGTGTTGACAGGGCCAACGGTTCCGAATACTTTGGATGCAGTAGTAGGGAGTCCGACCCCTGCTGTGATCACTGCTTCGACAGGTATTGCACTTGTGTCGCCTGTTCACTCTCTGAATGTATTCTGCCCCCATGACCCTGCCCCACCTGCTCCTGCCCGGCCCTCCCTCAGAAGAAGTAGGGGCCGGAATGGGGTCAGATAGGTGTCGCAACAGGGAGCAGAAGTGAGCTGTATTTACATTCACCGCATTCGAAACTGGCCTTTGAGGTCTGAGGTCCATACTACGAAACTGAACCCCTGAACGCCAAAAATCCCACCCCTGAAGCCCTTTCCTCACCCTTCTTCCCCCACTACATTCCCCGCACTTCGGCGAGGAAGTCAACAGCGAGAATCAGTCCGGCTCCGTGATTGTGCGGACTCGTCTCTCGGAAGTGGGCTTCCAAAGGGTCTTGGAGGCACCGGGATTCCGAAGGAATCCAGGAGGTCTAAGAGATTCAGAGGAGGCATTTGGTACTTTGCAGACGGTGTCCGGTAGTTTATCCTGACACGCGCTGCTTCCAAATTCCTGTTTGCGAAGCCTTCAAACGGAATACTGCGAACCCTTCATTCATACTCGATCCAGGAACAGCCCCGTGCCAAGCTCTGTCTTAAGGAAATCTCATCACCCTGGCACTCGCTATCGCTACATAAGAGTCCTCCACCCCTAAATCCTACAAGCTCAGAACCTTGCGCCTTAAAGTGGTGTCTTTTCATACTTTAGCCTTAGCCGTAGCTTTATAAGCCTTCCCCCTGAGAAGGTGGCCAGCAAACTGTCAGGATAGCTACCACAATACAGAGGGGTATCGTTGCAGACTCTGGGGAATACTATATGTGCTGAAACCCCGCTTTCTAGATTGACTGTATCCAGGGCCTGTGCTGTAAGTGCTTACCTCGTGCGGTCGGCATCCCGACAGTCCAAAGATCAAACTCTTGAAAGGGCCGGCGGACGGAATCGATGCTGACGGAGAAGCGTTTCCTCCTCCGAACAACACGCAAGGCGTGGAAGCCGAGGGCTGACCGTGAGACTAACACTGAACCAGCCCGGAGCCTATTGGCCCATTCAGCGCCTGCACACAAGCTAGGGCTTGAGCTTTGCGAGGTCAACAATCTGACATGATTTGCGGTACAAAGACGTCACTATACAGATACACGATATCACTCAAGGCCTTCAAAAGTCAGGCTTTCCGTCTCAGTTTCGATTTCCGCATTTTGCAGCTTGCAGACCTGAATTCGGCGCCGAAAGAACCCTCAAACCTTGAATCCTGCACCGCAGCGCAGCTAAGCTAGGACACTTGGCAAAATTAGAACAGCGACCTCCGTTCAGGAGTTCAGCCACCGTTTCAAGCGTCTTGGAGCTAAAGTGCCCATTGCGCTGCGTCGGCAGATTGCCAGGCATCCGGCGTAAGCAACAACATGGGTTTCTTACAATTCGATGCACCTCATGCAGGCTTCCTTGCTGAGTGGCTAGGGCTTGCATAAGTTAATCCGGGTCGTGCATGTTCTGCATTTCGTGCATTCGTGCCTTAGCAAGAATCGCAGTGCAATTGGGGGGCATGAGGTGTGAAGCGTTGGACTGTGGTGGCAGGATGTCCCCGAGAGCCTTTATCAATTTGGCAGAAGCAGGAGGTCCCTCTAGCAACTGCGCTTTCTGATACATGTGTTATTGTGTTTTTGCCCTTTCTGGGCAATGGGTGAGGATGATGATGGTGATGATGAAGATGGCGATGAGAATGATGGCGATGATGATGGTGATGACGATGATGATGAGGTTGATGATGACGATGAC